GTAGCTTTGCGCGAAATTCAAAACAAACAAACAAACATTTTATTTTCAAAAAACTTTTTTAGTAACACTTCAATCTTTCTATACTCCAGGAAAAGAGCCCCCCAGTGGCACAGCGGTATGTCTGCGGACTTACAACGCTAGAATCCGGGTTTCGATACCCGTGGTGGGCAGAGCACAGATAGCCCATTGTGTAGCTTTGTGCTTAATTACAAACAAACCAGGAAAATATGTGAAAATTAAAGACTAAGCGAATTGATCAACTGGTTCCACTGTTTTTTAGCGTTTTTGTGTTCACAAGTTTATCAAATATTTTTTTTTATCTTTATTGTATCATCAATGTTTGCATAATGAACAAAAAAAATCCCACACACAACATGTTTTCTACGTCCAAGTTTGTTGTTTTAAAACAAAGCCACACTGGACTATCTGCTGTGTCCACTGACGAGGTATCGAACCTAGTATTTTAGCATTATAAATTCGGAAACTTACCGCTGTACCACTATGAGATTCACAGCCACGAATAAACTTTTTCTGATTTCTCGTGAACGAGGAATGCTGCCTACTGTATTGAAATTTCTTGTAAATTATTGATAGTGTATAAGTATCACTCTTGGAATAAAAATTTGAAAATCGTTTCGAGTAGTATTGTTTTTTGTTTTTACATAATCTCGGAATAATTTCATTCATGTCTACAACAAAATAAAGAAAACAATTGTAATTGTACAATAATATAGACTATATGGTTTTAATTGTTTAAATAATATTCAATATTGACGATAGGCTTATCTCACCAACTAAGATAACATGTCAAAATATTTTCGACTACGAAATTCGTTTTTGTTACCGTTGCTAGTTGGATTAATTTCAAATAATCAACAAATAAACTTTGAATCAACGTGGTAGAAAAAAAAATTTGTTGATTAATTTCCAATATGAAATTTTGTTCTTTCTCACTAAATCTAAACAGTACTAATCAATAGCGAATTCGGCGAAACTAATGTACTACACAGAAGGCTTAGCGAAATATCGAATAGATTAGGCTTCTATGTCCTTCATGGATTGTTTCGTTTCTTCACTGACGTTACACATATTAGTGCGGAAGAAAAAAAAATCCACATTAATGGTTTTGTCATCTAAACACTCGTAAGTTTAGTGTAAACAGAGTAGTTAGGTTTGAATTTCGCGCAAAGCTACACGAGGTCTATCTGCGCTAGCCGTCCTTAATTTAGCAGTGAAATACTAGATGAAAGGCGGCTAGTCATCACCACCTACCGCCAACTCTTGGGCTTTTCTTTTTTCCAACGAATAGTGGAATTGACCGTTATATTATAACGCTCCCACGTCTGAAAGGGCGAGCGTGTTTGGTGGTACAGGGATTCGAACCCGCGACCCTCAGATTGCGAGTCAAGCGCCCTAACCACCTGGTCATGCCGGGTGGTTAGGTAATATTTATTCTTAGGCACCGGCACCTAAACATTTTCATGTTTGTTTGTAAGCTACAGGAAAGAAAAAAATAGTTTCAGTAGTTTTACTGTACGCTGCTACGTTTGATGGTTCTGTGACGTTTGTTTCAGTAGTTTTACTGTACGCTGCTACGTTTGATGGTCCTGTGACGTTTGTTTCAGTAGTTTTACTGTACGCTGCTGTTTGATGGTTCTATGACGTTTGTTTCAGTAGTTTTACTGTACGCTGCTACGTTTGATGGTTCTGTGACGTTTGTTTCAGTAGTTTTACTGTGCAAAGCTGTGTTTGATGGTTCTGTGACGTTTGTTTCAGTAGTTTTACTGTACGCTGCTACGTTTGATGGTTCTGTGACGTTTG